TAGCTGTACCTCCATGCGTAGAGGTTGTTAAAATAGCCGTACCTCCATGTGTAGAGGTTGTTAAAATAGCCGTACCTCCATGTGTAGAGGTTGTTAAAATAGCCGTACCTCCATGTGTAGAGGTTGCTAAAATAGCTGTACCTCCATGTGTAGAGGTTGTTAAAATAGCTATATCTCCATGTGTAGAGGTTGTTAACAGTATTAGGTAATCTACTTTTCAAGCAAAAATCCACTGCCGTAACCCTAGCCGCCTTGGGATTTGAGCTTTGTACCTTGTAGCCTGAGTGTCATCCGTTGTTCAACAGAACTTGCAGCTCCAAAACAATGTCTTACATATGTGAGCATTCAAATTTTATTGGGACCCATGCTCTGGCTCATAGGAGTCGACTTTAGAAACAGTGGTGTCATTTTGAGTGCTGAATCTGCTGAATGCCTTGATTGGTCAGTTAGTGTTAACTGATCATACTTTGTCAAGTGACCAAATCAGCTGACCAGGTTTAAGTGTCTACCAGGGAAAGCATGTCTGAGAGTGTTTCAGACCTGGGAAATGTGTTTTTCTGTAGTTTTGGGATGGCAAATACTGACACAAATACAAACCAACTTCAGCCGAACTACACATACGTAGGCTAAACCAGTCTGTTTGGCTCAGCATGTACAATATACACAGGAGTGATTTATGTGTGTTGTGTCTTAAACGTCATTGAGTTAAAGGCCAAAGGCCCAAGATGTGTCTGTTGATTGGTCAAAATCAGGACAAGCAGGCGTCATCTTGCAAAATTAATCAGGAAGTATGCAGAAGTCGTCTATTACATAGACTCAGGACTTTCTGGGATGCTTGAAATCCTCCAAGAAACCAAGACACTTCTTTTTGCTGTTGCTTTCACCGTGTGTAAAGCCACGAGAAATACCCTTCTCAATCCTGATAAAAACATTCAGATGGATTTCAAAGGATGTTGAAGGGATAGGTTAACCACTTACTACCAGGGAGCCCGGTTTCAGAGACGTTGGTTTATATGCATTGCCGGGGTGCCTGAAATCGACAAAAGAGCTGGGCCTTGTAACCAAAGACCGTACTCGGAACAAAAGACCGAGCTGCTGGGAATTGCCAGTAGTTTTTCAGTTGTCAATAGCGTCATTGTTTTGACAGATTACACCACTGTCTGCGGCATTCAGTGCGAGCGGATTACCACCGGGGACAAAAGTGCTCCAGTGCTCCAATGATGAGTGATACAGTACCGCTGCGATGTTGTCTGTCAGATTAGAGTAGTCACCAGACAGTCATTTGTGCGGGTTTTAACGTTGAGTAAATGAAGTTGTGAATTTGTAAACAATTTTGAATTTTTAAACAACAGAAAAAAATGAAAAATTACCCAGCCCAGCAGAATCAACATGGATAAATGGACCCGGCACAAAGTGGTCAACAGTGAGGAAGTATAGCAAAATAAGCCATGTGCACAAGGCGATATTTTTATGCTTGCAACCAAAGTTACCAATTTGTGACCCACCATCCCCAAACCAGGCTGAAGTCAGTATTTAATGTTGGACAGTTCCTCTCCTTCAGTTTTTTTTTACACTTTCAAGTGATCCATGTTAAATCAAAATACTGTCTGCAGAAAGCTTCTTACGGGTAGTGATAGCTGTAAAACTCCCAAGAAAATCTGAACAGTGGAAGTTCCACTATTTCAGGGTTATGAAGTTACCCACTTCAGCCTGGTTTGGGGATAGTGGGTCACGTTTGTATCCTATACACATATCAATTAGGGCCAGATGTAACATTTCAGCAACTTTCATGTTGGCCCCCTTTGATGGTGGCAAGCATTGTGGTGGATTTTGTATGCAATGACTGTCACTGAACACTGGCTCCAAGTAGTAGTTCTTCTAATGCTCAACCACCATTTGTGGGGGCCAGCACAAATGACCAGTTTGAGCATTACGATAGTCATCATATCAGTCTATACCCCACAAATGGGCTTTGAAGGAATCGTGGAGGACACCGCTTGATCTTGTAGCACAGCTTAGGTAAATGCTGACATGTCACTGAGAGCTAAATTATCAACCAGTTCACACTAGAGGCCACGTCATTGTGCCATGTTTATAGGGGCAGCTGACAGAAGTTGAATGTTCCCTGTGCCTCTCGTGAGAGACATGTCTACATGTCTAGTTCCTTGTGTGTTTTGTGCATACCCAATATCTGGAAGTCCTTTGAAGGAGACCATGTATTGAACTTGATCGCTACACAGGCCGTTGTTGCAAATATTGGTTCATGTTGGAACCTCAGAGTGTGGCACATTTTGAGGTTGTGGTGAGACATACGGTACAAATGTTGCATAGATTACTTTCAAAAGTCAGTATTGGCTTGCAGTGGTTCAAAAGCTGGTTGATGCATCTTGATTAAATTGAAAGACAGGTTTGGGCCATAATTAATACCATCATTAAGTGGTCAACACATGGAGTCACTGGCTTTGTTCAACTCTTTCTATATTTTGGCAATATTATTGTGGGATGCAAGTAATAGTGTCATATCAGGTTGCCAACATACTTGAAGCCTTACAATAACATCAAGGCATCTGTATCTGTCATTCAAAGGCACCGATATATATTTAAGACTACCTTATCCTAATCCTTCACTTCATTACATGGCAATTTAGGGGCTTAGAAACACAAATATAAGGCAGTTTAGGTAGGTATCAACTTATGCAAGCATGTCTCCAAACAAACGTGCTTAGAAATTGAATTAGCAATAGTTTAAGTTTATAAATAGACAGCAAAAATCCCTTTTTGTAGTCTTAAGTAACATAATTTTATCGGTGTATGTTTTTTAAACTGTTCCAAAAGTCTTGAGTTATGTAAAATCAATCTGGCAACACTTGGAAGTACTTGTACAGTACGTGTATGTGTGCGTTCACTCATGTTTAGTGAAGTTCCTTTTCAGATCAGTTCCACCATCAAGGTGGGGAATATAAGACATGTACTTAAAAGAAAGTTTGTGTGTTCATGAATCAACTTTGATACTCCATGTTAGAAGCTTGTGAAAAGAACTGTGTGTACATGTGCAGTTTTGGTCATTCCTGACATTTTCTTCAACCTACTGCATGTAATCGCTTTGAGCAGAAGCACCCCCTCATTGGTCGAAAAGAGCCATGATGGTGGGGAGTGTTCATGTTGTTGGTAACTACACGACCATAGTGCATGCATTTCTAAGTCATTTTGTGAACCAGCAAAAGTGCAGTCCCACCAGAGAGATCTCAGTTTCTGGGAATATTACTCCCTCTCTTGGTTCCACTCCGGGTAGCTTACATGCCAGCTTACATGTACATGGCAAAGATTAGACGGCACTGTGTAGACCCTCATTTATTTATTTGGGTCTGTGACTTTTCCTCAGACAGACTGTATAGGTGATGTTCACTGCGATGTTTTGCAGGGCAGCTTACATGCACATACTGCCAGGAAAAACAGTGGACCTTGACTTGTCTGATGTACTGTTAAGTGTCCGTCACACTACACCAACTATGAAAACTTCATTTTGTAACACTGTATGTCACCTTGTGCCTGGCAGTGAGGTGCTTAGTTGATTTCTCTTAATGTTACCCTTCTGCTAAGCAGCAGACATTTTGATATTTCCAGTAATAAGCATCCATGCAGTTTGCACTTGCACATGGGAAGTCGTTGCCATGGTACAGAGTCTGCATTGTCATACAGTGAAGATACACTGTGCAGTCTTACAAGGCTTGGAATTTCTTCCTTTGTGTTTACGTCTTCATTGCATTGCCTTGCATTGTCTCACATTTTCATCGTGGCAAGATCAAGTAGGTATTTAAGAGCTCTACTCCCTTTGTCTTGGAATACTGCAGGTTTCAATCCTGTCATCAGCTTTTGATGCAGTGACCTAGAGTACATGTAGCTATATACCACTTGTAAATTGTAAAAGGTGTATCTACCTGTAGCCAGGAGACAGTGTCAAAATACTCATGGGCTTTGGTACAGGTAACCTGCCAAGAGAATGGAGAGTCAGGAAAATTTTAATTTTTTTGGGTTCTTTTCAGCGTAATTTGATCAATGGAAACCCTAGGAGGGGTCAAGGGTCAATCAGACAAGGGGAGGTGTGAACCCCTTTTTGTGTTTCGTCATCTTGTACAGTTTCAACTGATGAGGATGTTTCTGTAGTACCTGTGATTGTGCAATAATGCGAGCGTTATCTCGTGAATAATACACCTGTATAATATTATGTGGTATTTAAATGTAAGAAGCTCTGTGATATTGACCACATGTTACAGAGGAAGTTAATGCACGTCCTTTATTGTGCCAGTTCAAAATGTAGTGCATTAGAGCAGTCAACTAGATTATTGAGATGCAGTGTGACTTCACTTATTTCTTCATAATTTGCATATTAACACATTTTCAGATATTCGTGTACAGTTATATTTATATTATAAAATATGTTGAAATTGGACACAAATTGGCATATTTTTTTGGTGAATATACCCTGTATGCATTTTCTACTGATTAGACTTTATATTGAATGAGGGAGTAAATCTAGATATACTTTAAACTCAAGATGTTATCATTGACATTAGACCGGATTAAACCCAAATGAATCCAAGTCCCAGGGAGGATAACTGACTTTAATTTCTAATGGGACTCTCAACTGATGATTCTGAGCTGCTTCAAAAGTGCAATTGATTGTAGCAAATAGTGCTTTTTATCTCAGGAATGTTAGTCTAAAATTGCACTGAAGAGTATTTAGGAAACAAATGTGGGCAGTGTGACAATTTCCAATTTTTCTTCCTATTTGAATGCATTGAGTTTGGTCCAGTCATGCTTGCAACACGGCTTTGTCTGGTAATAACTCCAAATGAAACCCCCCAAAAAATTAAAATCTGAAGAGGATCAACACCCTTTCCTATTACAAAATGACATGACTTATGTATGTAAAGTGTGACTGGTTCCCACAAAATGAGTTGACAAAAAAATTCAGTTAGTCTGTTTGCATTGGAAACTGAATTCTTCACTTTGACTATGACTCAGTTTGTCATTCTGATGAAAACGAGCATGATGTGAGGGAAAAATGGACATGGCTCATTGATGCAAGATTTTTAAAAAGGTATTTTTTTCATAAGTGAGTCTGACAACTTGGCAGTCATTTTCTTTTGTTGGGCCACACGTCAGGCCTTTTCTGACTGTGAGATTGATGGGAATAGAAAGAATTCAAGGTAAACAAGCAATGTTACCCACAATGCAGTGCCATGTCGTATGTGTTTGGGGTTTTTTCCTTACTGACATGTAAGCACAATTTGACTTCTGCATTTGGTGTCATGCTGGGTGTTGAAACTTTTTAACCTCTTTTAGGCAGGCTGTGATATACATGTAAGAGATATTGGGGGAAAAATGGTAGAAAGTACAAAACCTGTTACTTTAGTGTTGCTCCTTAAGCAACTGTGACCTGTGCTGTTTTTTTAACAGGTTTGTTTGGAATGATATACTGCCAAAACAGTCCAGTGGATAGTGGATGTTTAAACCTTTAATAAAGTTGTTACAGATCGTGTGGCCTGTGATACAAAATTGCGCATAGTGGTCACATGGCGCCCCTTTCAGGCTGGTTTGCTTCAGTAGTGCAAAGCCAAAAAATACTAAGATTGATTAGATTGATTAAAAATGAATCTGTTGCTCAATCATTTTTAGCATTTTTTCCCTCTTTTTAGTGATTAACAACTTTAAGCAGAAAAACTTGGCTGTTCTACAGAATATTTGCACCTTACATTATTTTTTACTTAAATTTTCCAACTTTGTCCTGTCATGGATAAATTATTTCAAACTGAACAAACTCTTGAAACACTTGGGGGATGAATCAAGTAGGCACAGTATATGAACATCTGTATAAAGCCTTCGTAAATGTGAACAAATGCGTACTTTATAGTTTAAAATTTCAAAAAGTCATTTCACATCATGTGGTGCCAAATTAGAGTATTTTGTGATATTATGTGATAGCAGTTCTAAAGCATCCAGTTCTGCATTCAGTGTGCAATAGAAAAGTATTAAAAATAAGTAAAGCAACATTCTAAAAAGCTAGTCTTGTATTGGCTGTAAATTGGGTTTATATTTTGATTGCCAACAGTGGCAGGGGATTTATTCATTATAAATAAAATGTATAGTTTTTACAAATCTTTAGCCTGTGAAGTTGTAACTGATCTTTTAGAATGTACAAGCATCATCTCAAATAATTTATCATGCATGTTGTATTAAAAATAATATAAAAAGTTCAGATTGTTGTGAGCAGAGCCTGTCAATGTTTATTGTGTTTGTTGAATTTACTTAAGGGATGGCTGTATGCTTTCAAGTAGCAATAATGGTCCTTTGGTTGGAACTAACTACATGTGCACAGTACGCCCTCGGCACTCGTCAAAAGAAAAATACAGTCTGCATTTGTCCGCATTCTCAGATGAACCATTTCACACCAACCTGTCTTCTTTGCCAAAAAGGGGATGCTTCAAATAGGGACAGATTGATCGTTTAGAAGATAACAGCCACACCTTTTCCTCAAAGCACCAGCGCCAAATATTCATGTCACTCGTATTCCCTTTGTGGGATCAGAAGTTGTCAATGCTTCTGATGCACAGCCATGGAAGTGATGCTGCATTCAGTCCATTTAATATTTCTTGGAAGGCTTAAAATCATTTACAGTAGCCATCACAATGTATAGTGTGTGTTGGCCATTGCACGTTAACTTTCCAATTCATTAGTGTTGAATGCACATAGGTCATTCTGTATTACTACGCTATTAAAAATATGAGGGTCCCCTGACCATGGCCGATTTTGCCATTTCTAAGGCTTTGCATGTATTTTCTCTAACTCTGCCATTCTGTAAATGTAAGCTCTACAGATGCACACAGTCAGTTATCTTGGGCTACCAAATGTTGATGCAGTATGCTCTCTGGCAGATGCTGAGGTTAACAAGGGCTACCCCTGCGTAACTCATAAATGTTGCTACGTGCACTTACCAGATTAACAAAGTTGCGAAGCACACCTGATCATTTGAATGCATTAGAGGCAACTGACATTCGACCACTTTATTTGAAGCTTTATTGTATATACATATATTTGTACACATTTTTACATCAAAAATTAATTTACGAGATAACATGGGCAACATAAGAAATACATACCCCACTCTCAAAGAACTCCACTTTCTTGGTGTGATAATCATATACATATACAAGAGTTGCCATCCAGTGATAAGTTACATGTTCATATCTTTGGGAGTCAGTACTGCCGTACATCTTTAACCAAGCTAAATATGATAAGCTACAATGATTATAGTTAATGCCAGGATTTTTTGGGGGGGGGGGTGTATTACTCGGCAGCAAACTGACAAACCATTAACGGTGGAAGGGGTCAATGTCAGGTATTATAAAGCAACTTTTCCATCCCCATTCCTCCCTTTTTGTCTCTTTAGAGTTTCCCCTTTTTTCAGTTAAAAAAAGAAAATTTTGAGGGAGGTGTGCTGAAGTGCCCTCGCCATGCTCGAGAATATTATCCATATACCCACAAAAACTGGTGTACACGTAAACTTTTTTTTTCTATGACATGGTACATGTAAAGCTGTTTTTACAACTGATGGTATCATAGAAAGAAGTCTCCACATCTATTAAAAGAATAAATACACTTGTACTTTAACCCTAGGGAGCCTAACTTCTGTGGTTTCATTCGGGGCAACTAGTGTACATTCAATTCTGAAGCTTAGATTGCCCTATCTATCTACATGTAGAATATGTGCAACTGTTTTGTCAACAAATGTATCTGATTGCAAATTTCAATGTTCCCTGCATTCCTTCTAGTTGATGGCATTACATTTTATGTGCATTAACAAGAACAGATGAAAAAAAACTGTCTTAATTCAGAAATAGAAATTTCTGTCTCCCATGTCGATGATTTCTACACGAAGTTTCAAAGGGCCTATTTGCTAACACATTATGGTTATTTTTGCTGAGAATATTTCCTTGTGGCAACATCTTGTGGAGATAAAAAGCCCACTGAGACACGGCTTTCTGTTGTAAGTATTATGAACAGTAAAAACAAATTATGTTGACATTGTTTTCATAACTGCAGAAGAGGTGTGCGTGGGTCATACATACAACTACATACATTCACATACAGTTCAACTCTTTGATTGATTATGCACAAAGGCGTATTTTTGTTGTTTCAGATAACTGACATGTAGGAGACAGTGACAGGCCTTCCTGGGAGATGACCCTTGCCTAGGAAAGGTCCGTCAATGCCTCAACAAGTACTGACTCCTAAATGTTAGTTATTTCAAACAGCAGTACTACAACAGTTATGAAGTTGAAACTTCTTGTGTAATCATTCAAAGAGTTGGACTGTAGGTGAAGGTAGTGAGAACTGTTTTACTCATCTCCTTGCACCTTGAACCATGGACTTATAAATCATTCCTTGTACCGCTTGTACAGTTTAATACTGTACTTGTTGGAGGAAAAGTAGCAATTTCGTTACAGATGATAAAAAGATGTAATACATACATTTAACTTATTTTAACTTGTCCTAACTCTTGACCATTTACTGGTATTTGACATGAAAACATAAGAATGTTGAAGCAAAATTAAAAATAATCCTAAAATACCTTTAAATAAGGCCCTTAAAAGTTGAAGATACTGGTAACTTAATATCCATTCCAACTATATTTTAAAGTTTCACGTTTTGTCACATTAGCAAGAGTATGTACGTCTTAACCTGATGTTCCACACTGTCTTGCCAGGTGTTACATCTTTGCTCAGTCATTGTGCACATTGGAAATAAAATCTTCCAAGTGTTTCTTTCAAGAGAGAATTTCTGCAGCTGCGAATGTCCTCCTCTTACTTTCCTTCAATTCAAACCATAAACTGGCAAATCTATTGAGCCCAGCCAGAGGGGGAGATAGAGGGGGGACACATGTACATTGTATGCATACTTGCATAACAGGTGCAGCTTAAGGCAGATACAATAAGCCTTTTGTGAGTTAAATTTGAATAACATCTGGTACATCAAGTTCTTTAAATTCACATAAATATAACAGTTTGAATTCTCCATACTAAAGACACTATACATGTACCTCTTGGTTCTGGGCAAGCTTTTGCTTAGTACCATAAAAGATACCCTGCACCAATACACTCTTCTCAATGGATAAGAAGGGCACAAAGGAACCAGTCCATTCCAGAGATGGTGGTCACTATGCAAAAGCTTGCCCCAAATCACAAGGTATAGCGATAGTGACTTTAGAGTGGGAAATTCAAGTTGTCATGTTTATGTTTAATCATATAACTCAGTGTACCAAATTTTTTTCTAATTTAACTTGCAAACGGTTTATTGCTTTATCTCTAACACCATATCCAAAGAACTTCAGGACTCTTACTAAGCATATTGTAAGTGATCAGGAACATGTGCATGTAATTCATCATGTTCATTATCAAACTAATTACAGTTAGACAAAATGATAGTTATAAATAAACATTATAAAAACAAGAATATTTGTGAGTAATAACTTTTTGAATCATTGTTTGTGATTAATGCTTGCCATTTTATTTCATTCAGATTCCTTGATCTGTTAATGTGATTCCAATGCTGCAAGCTTTTGGCTGTAACCTCTTCCAACCTGCATGGTTGGTGGTAAGTTTGCTCCACCAACCCAAAAATGAAGCTCACAGATTGCACAGCAGTGGTCTAATACAGGAAGTGCACCCGCCCTTCTGCTGGTAAGAGAGAAATGACCTTGCCAACCCAGCTGTGAGCAGAGGTGATTCACAATACAGTGTACCCCCTGTCATTTATCCCCACAAGTTTGATTTCCAACTTGCTGGCTATTTACCAAGCGCTGGCAACTACGCAAAGCGCTACTTGCATATCAATGCAAAGACGGAGGACCACCAGTGAATGCGATTGACAAGAAGGGAAATGACCATATGTATAAATGACTAAGTCCCATGCAGTGACAAGGAGGTGGCTATGAAAGTGGGGACAAGGTAGAATGATTCCGAGCTGACGAGTGACAGCTATGTAATGGAATTCCGCAATTGTTTGAGCCCTCTAACACCAATTAAGCAGTATTGTAAATCACCCCTAGACAGTTCTTTCATGTATCATTTGTACTTTATCTCATTAGTTCCATGATCAAAGTCAGTCAATTGTGTAACCTTCCCCCCTCACCCTACCAACGGTACAGCTTGTTGCATTTATATGTACTTTGTATTTCCATAAGTATACACACGTAACTGCTACACTCTCCATGTCTCCTTGTATGTAAGCAGTTCTTTTGCACCTCATTCAGCTGAATTGATTACAGACATGGGCAAAGATAGTTCTTGGCAGAGTGTTGTTGGTACATGGAGAATGCAACAGGCTTCGATGTGTGCCAACCCTGTCTATTCCCAGCTCTCCCAGTCATCTAGGTCATCGTCGTCATCATCATTGGCATCGCTGGGCTGCGTTTTTGTCTTGTAGGCTGCTGCTGCCAGGTCTTCATCAGTCACATCAATGTCGTCAAAGTCCTTCTCCCAATCATCACTCAGACTGGAATCTGAAAGCATAAAAAGCGGGCACTTATTGAATTTTTCCTTGTCAATTCCCATTTTCATGCTGAAGTCCTGTTCATGAAATGTATAAATGTATGGAATATCTTCTAGTTGAGCAAGGCACAGACTTTATGGGTTTGGCACAAGTTAAATGAAATTTGAGGTTTGAGAAGTTTGAGACGTCTTTCTAATGCAGACAGCCTTACCTTTATTGCTTGCATCTGATCCAGATGGTGACGTCTTTTTCTCAATCGGAGTCTCCTCAGAAGAAACCTGTATCACCAATGCATCCCCATCTGCACTCCTACCTTTTGTATCTTGGGCTTCATTACTCTCTTTAGATTCTATTAAGTCCTCGTCCTCTCCACATTCATCTGACAATTCCATATTCTCAGCGTCTTCTCTTTGCGTCGGTGCATCTTTGGAATCATTTTCTTCACTTGAGTCTAAGACCACTGAATCATGTTCTTGAGACGGGTCTCCTACACCACTGATCTGTTCAAAGAGAGATGTCCTTGATGTTGTTTGGTCATCCTGATCCGCTGGCTTGGTGTACAGTTCCTGTGTTGGTGGTTGCTGTTGTTGGCAAGGTAGATCAGCCTGAGTTGCAGTGGCTGTAATCACGGCTTCTTCATCTTCACCTCCATGGCTAGATTGTGGATGTTCGCGTAGCTCAGCTAAAGCCCTATTTGTCGGTTGACCTGCTACTCTGTCATCAGTGTGTGGCTGTTTCACAGGACTGCTTCTGCACTCGTGAGCATTCAATGCAGCAGACAAGTCCTCTGTAAGAATAAAAAAGCAAAATTTAAGGGCGTAAATGTACAAAGTGTTCTGTCAGCAACTACAAATGGTCAGTGTTGCCCCGAACGGCAGTTTTGGTCCAAGACCTGGCCAGTGCCACTTGGCAGCAGGCACTATCAACAAGCTGAACCCCATCCTGTCTTGGTAAGTCTGGCTGACCAATCAAAAAAATACAGAGCATGCCTCAAGCGCGCATGTCAATCATGACAAGAATGTGGGGGTCTAGACAGGCTTGCCTGTAGGCTTTATATATAAGCATTATACGCCGCACATATGGTATTATTTACGGTACTTAAGATACACAAGGTATTTATGCTTGTAACTTTTCAGAAGCCCAGCAGGAATGGCCAAGACTTTACAGGGCCTTCTACTACAGGTGCTGTTTGCTTATGCCTGCCAGCACCAGGGATCGCTGCTATACTAAGAAACAGCAATGCATTTAGATAAACATAATCCAATTCCATTCTTGGGCCAAGACTATCCCCATAGCAAAAGCCTAATCAGGCCCGAAAAATGCTGGATGTACAGAAAGCTTCAGGTAATGCCTTACAGTCATTGTCACAATACAAGGAGGCCATCCTTTAAAGTTCAATATAACATACTCAGGACAGCTATGGAAGGCTGTCATTTCAAGCAGTATCTCAGTGTCTCTATAAAAAATTGTTGTTTACATCAGTTCCCAGTGACAATTTGGACACTGTGATTGGTGGACTTGCCTTCATCATCGTCCCACTGGAGTTCCTCTTCATCAAATGTCTGTGAGGATGTCATCTCAGCTCGTTCTTTCAAGGCTGTCCGCCTTGCTTCATCCTGCTCTAACTGATGCACTTTATAAAAGTATCGTCCCCAGAAGTCGGCATTAGACACAACAGCAGGTACCTACATGAATCATCCAAAAGCATGGACACACAACGGATAAAGCATCTGCGTATGATAAGCATTAGCAACAACTTCATCTCAATTGACCGGATAATTGTCAAGGCTGCATTCAAGTCCATCACAAGTTTGGTCAAATGACCAATCACAGATCAATCATATCAAGATGAACAATCTTCAACATCATTTGAATAGCTTGGCTCAAGACTGGATGGCTTAAGACAGACTTGTGTGGCTTTGTGATGAGCTTGACTACAGTCCTATTCATTTGTTACTCCGTCAATGGCTTTCCCTGGATGTCCTGAAAAGTCTATGCACAAAATTTTCTAGATGTCACTTTGATCACTTTTCAACTCCAATCCCACTCAAATTTGGCAGAAATATCAAGCACAATACATTTAAGTGAATATATGAGCGATTATTAAACCATGAAGATCTCACTATGCATCACGACATAAATCAAGAAATGTTTGTTTCCAAAGAACTACAGTACATATACAATACTAGAATGTGACACATATAAATATGTACGGAAAATAATGTAGGAGAGCTATTCGATGAAGTTGGTTTGTGTGTTGTTACATTTGGATACATCTGTAGATGGCGTACAAGGGGTCACTCAGAGTAATTGGTTGTGTGTCTCCGACATAGAGCTGTTTTAGAACACTTCAATTCAATTCAAGTAGTCATTTCTTTCATTTTCTTACCAGCTTAGTATAAATTGCTCGGACATCAGTGTTTGCCACCAGTAACTCAGAAATGTCTCCTTTGTATCTGTCAATATCAAATGACTGTAGCCACTCTTCATAGACATGAGGCGGGCCCTCGGGGTCAGTGCAGTAGGTACCTGCATCAATTTGCATTGAATGAAGGCGAGCCTGTATGGAAAATAAGCAGAAATGCTTCAACGAAATGACTCATCTTACTAATAGGATAAACGCTCAAAGATTGGGAACCCCATTTACAATTAGTGACAATTCTGTTTACTTTACAACTACATTAATTAAATTAATTAAACCCCATAAAATGAACAAATCTAAAAGACACAAAACAGATTAATCCAAATCAAGTATAACTGAATACTGCCTTTATGAACCGGTACCAGGCACTTAAAGCCAAAGAGCACAGAGATGAATTTATCAGTCAGGAGTACAATACAAATTGTAGTCACCCAACCAGACTGGTGATTGCACGTGACATGATAAAAAGTCAGTCTTTCTGCCCACCACGTGACTTAAATGCAGCAGATAACAATGTAGTTTAGGTCAATAAAATTTAATCCGACAAGCCTGTAACACCACAGTAAAGACAACATGCTAAAGTTGCAACAATGTGAACATACACTCATGATTACACAGGGCTGTAATCAAGTCTAGAATAACTCCTTTCAAAAGTCCTTTCGCAAGGCCAGTCACACGAAGGATGAATAATAATAAAGGAATACTTTTATCACAGTTTTCTAGAATAGCTGGTGATTTGGCTTAATTCTGGATGAGTTGTGATGGACTTACAAGGACTAGAGATGGGCTCAATTTCTGTCTGCATTATTTCTGAAATACATGTCCACTGTACCTTTGCCCTGTCAAAGATGTGATGAGACGTCTTAGAAGAGGCAGGCTGATGAGTCTCCTCATCAATACCAGGGTTCTTTGGGGCAAGGCTTTCCGACAGTCCACTCAGCCAATCAGAGAAGCCCTTCTTGACGCGACTACTTGTCGAAGACTCATCGGGCTCAGTCTTGAAACGAAATCAACAGTAATGAGTCGGTGAGTGCAACCACGATAAATCTTCCAAAACATTAGAATGTCTGTTTACGTTACTGTTGGGACTGTGTGCACAAATGCGACTGGTTACCATGGGAAAAGATGTGAATGGGCTTCTGGCTATTAGAAAAGAAGTCACTGTCCTTCATGTTAACACTCCACGAGCAATAGATTGTAATGACTAATATCAATGATGCGAGGGATCGAGACTGGTTCCCTCTACACATTCCAATGGAGGGGCTGGGAACCAGTGTATGCATGTACCCCCCCACTCCTTTATCTGACTCCGAATGGCTATCCACATTCTTTTTAACGTCACTGCCAGTGACAACACCCAAGTTGTCAATCTGTTAAAAGTACTACAATGATACAGTCATTATGCACACACATACACATAAATTTCCAAAGTAAAGTTAAAGTAGTCCACGCAATGCCATCCATGATTTCTGCTGTCTGTAACAAACATCATGAGTAAATTCCTGTCTTCTGATTGGAGGGGTGCCATGCACATCCCTGAAATACCCACACGCAGGTCACATGAGACACGAATGCATGTGGCATGGCACATGCACCCAACTGGTCAGAGGCAAGCCTGTCTGGGGTGATAGAGCGGGGTCATAGAGCATTTACTGCTCCATGGATCACCAAGGAAGGCTAGTTTTACTACACCACGAGATAAAACATTTCTTTTTAAAAGACCCCTTCCAGACTCTTTGATTCAAGCAAAAACTGAATATTGTAATCTTAATACAATCAAAATTGTACAAGAAATACAAAATTTGCCAAGATTCACAAACACTTTTCCACACCATCTCTTCACAAAATAAATTCACAAGTACAGTGGCTAAAATTCTTTTGACCATGCTCAGCAAGTGCGACTAGCTCTAGGCCAGCCAAGATACAGAATTTGTGGGTGACATGTTATAAAAGATTTACAAAAAGTGGGCCCACTGATGAGCATACATGTACATGTATTCTGCATGCACTTACATTTAAGCTCTCTCTGATGACTCCAGCTGACGAAGCAACCGCAGTGGACGTGTCTCTCTGTATGGTGCTTCCAAACTCATTCAGATCTTTCTTCATCTGCTCCAATGCAACAGCCGACTGCCACATAATATCAATACACAATGAATCATCCACACTCCTATCCACCCAGTATGAAAGAACCCAATAAGCAGTGTACATGCTAAATAGCTCCCATTTCAAGTCTAAGTCTGTGAGTAGGATAAAAAGTCCCTATAATATACTTGTAACTATTATTAAGAATCTTGATGTTTGGAACCTTTAATTTATTCTTGCTGGTAACATTTGTGGAACACTCATGATCTCAGCAACATTCAGCAAGACACATTAAACCAACTGCCTTTCAACAGCAACAAGTGCTTGTGCTCCAGGTCAGAGCAGGTGTTCATTACCACTATTATTCCTCACTTTAAAAGTTTAACTAGCAGGAATTGCATTGTGGATATTCAACAAATGAAATAACAAATTGTACCCACAGGACATGAGGAATGAGGCCACAGGAATGAGGCCACAAACCCTCCCCCCCTCAAAGCAAATTTCTTTTTCCAAAAAAAAATCCTGCAGTTTTGAATCAATTCATTTCATTTCCACCCCAACTGTGTAGCTAGTCCAAAACTTAAGCCCAACACCTCAGAAAAAAATTAAGCAAATGAAAACTTTTCACACACCCCCCCCAAATGATACGTGCCCCCTAAGAACTTGGTTCTGGGTCCATTCCATAGCTATGACACTATGCTCCAACCTTTTGTTTAGCAGCTTCAATCCATCCTCCCCACCAACTTCCTTCATCTTTGCCACTGGAAAAAGACAACATTATAAAGTCATTAGTTTACACCAACAGCAGATCAGCCATAAGGCCTTTTCACAATTGAGCTCAAACTGGCATTGTTCCACACCTGTTTCATGCGAACTGAACTCATCAGGGCGAGTTCAACCTGGAGATGAGCACTAATGGTTTTCAACCTCCACTGAAAAATCTCAACCACTAAAGAGGAAGGGGCTGCCCTGGTCTGAAGCAGGGTTGATTTCGACCCGGATTGAAGTCAATCTTGGGATTGACAAAGTTTGGCACAGAGTTGAAAATTTCACCAATCATCACCAGTTTTGCACCCGACATCAACCTTGTCTTGAAATGTGTTTCGTGAACCTATTAAAAGCAGTAAGCTTTGTTCAAACTATTTCATAATTTGCAGTAGGAATTCATCTGGCACTGGTCCTGAGTTTCCAGAGGCTCTGTACAATAATTACCTCAGATGTTTAGAAAAAAATACCAGTGAAGAGCTCGGTGGTCTGGAGGGAAGTATTGCTGTAATTTTGGCATGTGAGGTTCATTCTCAGTGGTGACTTACAATGTATTTCCTTCACTAAAATGTGCAGTTCTACTCCTCAGTGAGAAGATATTTTCCTTTGGTCATTCTTGACTTCTGAGGATTTATATTTCATTGGACTGAAAGTCTCAAAGCCAATTCCTGACTGAACTTTAATGAAACCTCGAGGACAGTACCAATTACAGTGTTGTGCACTGCACTAACTGTCCCTCACAGGAATATCAGATTGCACTTTTGTGCTTCCCAAGAACTGTGCTTCATGTTTCATGTGCATAATTGTGCAGTAAACCAAATGCAGTGAAGAGGACTGCACAAAAGACCCTGGGTCATTTTGTGCTGACAACCTACTGTGTACACCCTGAACCTGTGCATGTTTGAGTTCCATATAGAAACTACATGTGACTGACTACCAGCGACTGTGGGCATTTGTGCACATTTGTGCTGTAAAACCATAGGAGGGTTAATGCATCAAACCCCACTCGCTGTTATGTTTTGACAACCATACATGTACATGTAGCCTCATTTACATGTACACTAGGCCTGTGATACATGGCCAACAACATGAGTAACCATGATAACGGGGATTGTAAATTTCAGGACCCCTTTCCTATATAGAGGAAGTATTAGATTTACATGTAAGTGTTTAGACTTGCTTAAGTGCATGTACATGTACAACGTAGATGATAATGACATTATTTCACTGAACTGAAAGGTTAATTTTGTAGAGAGAGGGCAGGGTTTTGATTCTTCAGGGAATTTATGGGTAAAAAGGATGACATCAACACAGTCCATGCATACACACATGCATTTCCCATACAGAACTGCCCAAGAGTTTTGGGAAGTAAGATGCATCAAATGAAAAGCGAAAGTGACAAAAGGACAGGTTTTGACTGGGCTTAAGTTCTGCCTCGACTGAGGAATAAAGGAAAGTGAACATTGCATGCAAATACAAAACAAAAAAAAATTTCAGGTTTCTTTCCAGAGGGAGTAATGTGGTTTGTATGGAACAGTTGAAAAGTGCCTCAAGTATCAGCTGATGGGATAGGCCCTACAAAATGGCGGGTCCTGACTGAGCAGTTGTGTGGTGCGTGTGTTCAGGTGTTGTCTGAATTTCACTTCAACTGTATCAACATTCAACTGAAGAATACCTGGTCGGATTAGGGAATGGGTATTCCAGGTGCAAATATCAGTTGTTTGGTAAAATTGGACGTTGTTTCCTTATTATAGGAACAGGTGAGTATGGTATATGAACCCCGACAACTCGACAATCAGACAATAGGGCACTGACATTTGTGAATGTGATGTAACAGTGTAAGGAGGTCTGGAGATACATGTACTTTGTAGGGTAGGCCTAATTCTGATCCTAAGTAAGTAAAAAACACATAAGATGTTAGTTTTTTCTGCACATTCTTCCTCTTGATTATTTCTCTAGACTTCACTGGTATGTAAATTGTATACTATTGAGAAACAGTGGATCCAATGACGTAATTATGTCAATATTCCAGCGAAATACGTGTACGTACCCAGTTCCAGTCGCCATGTTGATGTTGCAAAAAGACGCCCTCTGTCGACGCAAATGCGAGCACACAGTAAAAGAAAGAAAACAAATCCGATGAGATTCGAGGGTCCATTTTACACTCAAGTGTTTCAACCTCTCTGAGCGCGCGCGCACCGCCTGCGTGCGACAGGATGGCCCCGAAGTACGTAATGCATGGCTTCTAATTTTGGTCGTCGGATTTAACCATAAAGCCGCAGTGACAAACGGGTTAATTTACTTTTGAGCCACTGGAAACAGTGCAGAAACATTCAATTCTCTGAATTAGAAACCACGATTTTCTCAATTATTTTCTTTTTAATTAAACCCAACAAGGTAGCCCATCAGGTTTGTTCGTCTTTGCTTCGTTGTTTTAAATGGCGGTGGAACGATTTTCAAAGTTGTGGGGGGGCAGTTGTTAGATCAGGCATCAGCCATATTGAGCCCCATCCAATACTACTACTAGGACCTGCGACCAGTGGGGCCCCCCCCGCTTCTGCTGCCAGTGGCTGTTTTGAAATCCCTCAGGCTCTGTCCATAATCTGTCCTGGATCTGGATAAATACTCTGAAAAGCTCTAAATGAGCATCACTCACAACGGTGTACTTGTAGGCTGGATTTCGTCAAAGCCAGGGACGAGCGAGCATAAGCAATTTCATACTGGTACTCGCAAGGATTGTATTGAGAACATTAATATCAAGACTAGTACACCTGTATGTAGGTATTTCGTGGATGCTTTGACCTATGGGTTTTGTTGTAAGGTGGACGTGTAAAGGGTGTACAGTGTATAGCCTTTCGCCCAACAGCACGGCGGACATGAAGCTTTCAAATTTCCTTTTGTCCTGCCTGATTTAATGACGAAACCAACAATATAGCTCCTAGAAAAACGGTGGGATTTTATTTCTAACTATAAACAGGGGATAAAATGGGTAGACAAATATGGAAGAAATATAAAATTCGGAAGAACAATACTAGCCACTGCGGGGGGGGCGGGGCTTGAGACCAGAATTAACCCCCACCCACCCAGCTCCCAATGCTCACACGTCCTCCCCGCCGCCCGTTACGCTACAACGGACTTGGATTTACGGCTGTATCAGAGCTAATTTTAGTGTATGGAATGTCGGGGTAAACTGTGTCTTCGTTTTTCAGAAAGCCAAAAGCTCTGAGGTCTAAAGCACCCCTAGCCCCCTCCCTACTTTGGGTGGAGAAAATCACGTCCCTAAGGAATGTGGGTTTACTTTTCCCGGTGTGAAGGGGTACTTTGCTACAAAGGGATTGTGTTTCTGGATTTGTCACCTTTTATTTTGTCCAACAAAGTAGGCCTACATATTGCTCATTGCTCCTCGATGCGACAGTGAAAGTCGATTGTAATTGGCGGTGATAGTGCCTTTAGTTCTGTGGGTGGTACCGGAGGAGTGTCTTGAGCATGTATGTGAATCCAGGACATGGTTCTGGCAAACAATACATCTGTGCCTTGCTTAATGTGCCTTGCTAGAAGGGGGGAAGGGTACCCAAAGGGGGCACCTCTGCCCGAACGATAAGGTCCCAGGCTGCGGGGACGCGTGTAGGCCACAAGCGGGATGTCTAGGATGGCACTGGCAAGGCGGTCTGAAGTGTGGAGGATATGATGATTGTCGTTGATTATTTTGCGGAGGCGAGGAAGGCGAGGATGGAAAGTGGTGACCCAGGGAACCCTGAGGGTTGTTTCTTCACGGGGGTCTTCTCCTTGAGTGCAAGACTTCTAGGGACGGAGTGGATAGAGCGTTGAAACTGGTGATAGCTGCAATCAAATGACTATTCAGTTCCTGTACATGACGGGAGAAATCTGAATCATTAGAACCAATGCGACTCAGCCTGAGTGCTTGGCTGTATGCAATACCAGCCTTGCAGAGAGTGACAGCTGGATGAGTGAAGATACTGATGGGGACTTGGAATACAGGCCAGTAGTCACGAGGTTGTTCCTTCCGGATGCTGACATTGAGAAAGTTGGCCTGATGGAGGGAATATTTTGAAGTAACTTAATTGTCATATGGAAAGAATTAATATAGTCAATGAAGATGTCTAGACTGCCACTGTCACTGGTCCAGATGAAAAGTACACCATCAATGTATCTCCACCAGATGCAATGGCGGCATGGTGCTGAAGCAAGCATGCGTTCTTCAAGGTTACCCATGAAGAGGCAAGAAAAGGAAGGAGCCACGTGAGTGCCCATAGCTGTGCCATGTGCCTGTATTTTTTTTAGGAAAGGCTATTGGGAGACTGTTTTATTTCCCTTACTTTCCAAAGCGTGTTAAAAACACTCAAACATTTGCGCTCCCCAGGACATAATAAAAAAATATCGTCAATGTTTTACTCCTATAAAAAGTTTAGCCTAACAATTTTAGCTCTGGGACCCGTCTTTGTACATGCGGAGGTCGATGCAGTGCAACTCATGCAGTTGAACATTGGAACCCTACTCAACGCAGTCCTGCGATAATACTGGGCCTACTGGAACCATAAACGTAGCTGCGTGTATGGGTCTATAGGTCCTTCACACAAACAATATCCCAAGAGGTAAATAAAATTCTGAAGACTGGCTTAAGGACATGGGGGTGCGGGGAGCATCGCTCAGCTACCCCGGAATGATTTGCTTTGCTAGTCAACTCTCCTCGATTTTGTCTTCAGACCCTAATTGCGTTTACAGCGAGCGATTTGTCAAAACCAGATCAGACTCGACAAAGGTACATGCATATTGATCCACAGAAAGTTTGATAAGAGGTATCTGCGCCTCTATAAAAGCGAGAAAGACGAAAAATGTAAGAAACTTACCCAGTATACAAAACCATGAATGTAAATGTACATTTTAATTCCTGGCATTGTTGGAAAGGGTCCTGTGTAGAAATCAGGAGTTCGTTTTGCAACCTGTGCAACAATGAATTCCCTATAGTTCTTTACTGAGATGTACAACGCTTGGTGCGTTTTAGAAAAAACTCTCCATTCTCACCTCTAATAGACTTACATCTGCCGTGTATTTCGACAACCATCGAAGAAACCCTTTTTTTTGCATCAGCTTCATGATCCAGTGCGCCTCGTTTTCTAATATTAAATGAATTTTACTGTTAATCAATGAAGTCATTTCCAAGCTTTCTGTCACAATAATGACCAACTTCAGTCGCATGACTTATTTTGTGCATTTTTGTATTCTCTGCTGGAGTTGATACCCTTTTGTTGATTGTACCGAAAACTTTTCCATCCAGACAATTGAGTGCACTGTTACTGAGACACCATTCTGGAAAGACACTACTCAGTTGCGGAATATCCTGTTCAAATTCTGAACCCAAAATTTGTTTAGTGAAAACAATTGTTAGAAAGAGTTGCTCACTGGCTGTCACATACCGTAATAATCACATAACAATTTACAACAGCAAGATGCGGACACATTTTAGCAACTGTAAGTCCGGAAATAAATGTAACATAAAGGTTTCAGCCAGTGACGTATCCAGCTGGGGGGGGTAGCAACTCCCCCGACGGATTTTTTGCTCTCAAATATTAGCGCCAAAACCGTAAGAAAACAGTACCATGAAATAAAAGCAAGGATGTCGGGACCGTAAGGCTTTTTACATTTTTTCTCCTCTGACATCATGTTGAATAAGCCAAACGAAACACCAAACGCTGGATACGCCGATGGTTTCAACCCAGAATACCTTATAAATTTTGCATATCGATACAGAAATCCTCACAAAACCGAAGAGGTTCTAAAACACTGCACACTGATTGCGGGAAACAAAGGCAAATTTTTGAGGATTCTTTGAAAAAAAAAACAAAGTCATTATCACTGCAGAATGCAACAAAATACAAGGTAATTATACAAACATTGGGTAGACAAAACGAATAGATCGAATACATCTACATCTGCGATTCCTTGAAAGTTTTTTTTTGCTTTTTACCAAATATATGATAAACATTTGTTGAAACATATACATGTATATCTCGAAAACCAAAGTCATACACATCATGTTGCTCTTTTACTCCGTTGTTAGGAGCTAGAGTGTATTCTCACTTTACCGCGAGATCAGGCCACTGGCCCTTCCTTAATCCACACGAGGAGAGTTGGGACATCCCATCCAAACTGAAATGTACCGTTTCTCGGCTTGTTTTACCTCAAAATGTTATCAATCGGATACATTAAAAAAGAGAGTGTCCACTTTAGTATTGCCCGTTTAAGTAGGTCCAAATCAATCTGAAAATACCTCGGCAACATATTATTTAAAGTTCTCAGAGGATTCCACATATCTGAGTATTCTAACCTTAACGTACAGAGGCTAGATACTCCAAAACACTTTCGACGGAAGCGACGAGTGCAAAACTATGGTCGTCTGCTCATTAATTTTGTCAGCTTGATAGGAAGCTATTGATCTGTTAAATAGTTTAAATTAACTATGCAATACTCAAGCGATGACAAGGAATATGTTTCACATGCAACTGTGCAGCGTTTAGCTGTTTGCAGTCTTTCAATGTTTGGATCAGGTTTTCCAAAAGTCATTAACGATACCAGTCAAGATGAACTGAAATGCCAAAATTTGCTATAAAGAGCTTTAGCTTAAGCAATTTCAGAAAAGTTTAGGCCGAACTCACTTGATTGTGGCAAGAACATGACAATGACAGTTGCTCGGAAAATGTATCTGATATTAATGTAATGGTCAAATGCGATGATTTTGATGCGCATTAAGGTGTATTTGCACTGCACAGCACTATGCGACAGTACTTCAATATCACTTGGGGAATGCGACAGCTCAGCGTCTAGAACAGCAGTGCCATGCCTTTGTCGTTTGTCGAATGGCGACAGTGTGCCGTGTCATTGTCGTTTAGAATGGCGGCAGCGTGGTAGACCCTGCAAGTCAAAGGGTGTTCCCATGCCGATCTAAGTTTATGAACTGTTCATCGAGCAGAATGGTGCTAAATATCATGATACTGCTCTACCGAATGCTTAAAATACAATAAAACCTTGCTCGTACTTATAAAGATATCGATCGGTTGACAGACCCTACGCTCTTCTCAATGTAATACCTGAGTACCAGCCAGTCTTTGACATCATCAACGCCGAGAGTCTTCTGCAGCGACTCATCTGTGGATTTTACGAATAACTCACACAGTTTTTTACCGTTGATATCTTTGCGCCTTAGAGTGTCAATCACACGACGACCAACTTTGAGGTACTCTAGAAGGGTGACCATGTCACTCAGTTCAAAGGCCGATATGTTACCGTCTTTGGGTGGTACCACTGAAAAGAAAGTGTGGGAGGATTAGGGTCCCGTACTTATAAAAGGATTTTTTTATTGCTATATCAAACTATGAGCGGATGTCTGCGGCCTTCCTCAATGTCCCCACTTGAACTTTTGATATGAACACAAGACTAACTTGTACAAGCTGCTGCGAATTAGATTTTAGTGCCGCCTTGAAAAACGTGTGCCTCAAGGGCTCAAGGCCTCAATCGTCGAGTATTTTCCTCAAATTGGTCGATGCAATTACAGGAGGCTGCACCTCAAATCGCCATGGTGTCAAATCTACCAGCAATAGTGTTAAGTGCAGGTTTGCTTTGTGTGGTTTAGTTTGGTTTGGTTTGGTTTGATCTCGTTTGGCTTGGTGTTTTATCTCGATCTACCTTTTTGTGAAGAAGGCTGCGGTTTTTCATAATCAGCATCAGGTGTTTCATAATCATCATCGTCGTCACCGGATTCGTTTTCATAGTATTCCACGTCTGTAGTTAACACAAAAACGATTAACCTCCTGTCAAATAAATTTCATTCATTCATACATCTTTTCGCATAACTAATGGGGGATATAATGGCGAAGACCCGTCGGCAAACAGACTGAAGACAGAAAAAAAAAAGACGGTGCAATGGTTACGGAATTAAGGCTCAGCAGGACAGAACTGAAGTTACTTACGACTGAAAGAAAAACGTGTATATGAAGAAAGTGCCATCAGAAAATGATTCCTACAGTCAGCTCTCGATGATTAGAATTTGAAAATCAGAATCTGTGGTAAGTCCAGGCCAACTCAGTCTTAAAATCGAAAAGAGTTAACCTACGCGAGCAGTTGAGGATAACTGATATAGGTGTCCCGACCTAAGCTTAGCATCGTCTCAATTTCGATGCCGGCGTGGTAAACCCAACTTTGTATAACTACTGTTTCCTGTTTTAAGTTTTCAGTGAAGCTGCGGGGAATCTTTGATTGAGACAATGTGCAGCAACTGATGTCCGGGATTCAAGAGTAATTTTACGACTACGACTGAAACTTATAGCTATACTTTTAAATTGTCCTGAATCAAAATTCGGCCAGTTTCTGGTTTGTTAGCGTTTGTTAATTATTTTATTTGATAATTTTTTAACAGTGACAGCATTTTATGATCAAGTCATTGTTATTTGAACAATTTTGCACTTCGATAACACTAGCTGTCTCCTAGCAGTTGTCATTAATGTTTTGTCATACTTACTTTGAGAGGACAGCTTCTTTTCATATCTCGGAGGTCGCTCCAGCCTTGGGCTTTCTTTTCGAATATCTGTGAAAAGTTGTATGATTCATCAGGATGAGCAGAAGTAAGAACGGAAAACGACCTTTAGAATTGAATACCGTTATTGTGCTTTCAAACTGATCAAACAAAACAAACCCAAACTAAAAAGAGTTTTGAAAGTTTATTAATTGGTCAGATCAGCGGTCAATTTTGTTTCCTCGGTGCCACATCCGGGTCTTAGAATCAGGGCGGGTAAAAATGGCCTTTTTTCGCACAAACGACTGTTAATTTTTTTCGACCGCGTAAGAATCCTCAACCCATGTGCACCCATGATCCATCCCAAATCATCTGGCAGTACAGTTGTTAAAATGCTGGTGATCTCACTTCCTTAAAAAGGGGGGAGTGAATACGCCTCTAGTTTTCCTGTATGTGCATTCCTACGGTCTGGCAAATCCACACGGTTCGGCGACTGAGTTTAGAAATCGTAAACGTCCATTCCAGTTAGAAGTTTTGTTGTGAAAACGAATTCACGGTGAAGGTAGCTAGTTATTGCAGTTTGCGGTAGCACCATGGATATATCTCTTTTTGAGCATATGTGAAAAGAACCGGAAGGCAGGCCTACTCAACGTATCGGACAATGTGCTCTATCCGTTGCCAAGGAGACCGCTAATTTGTGTTCCCCTCCTTTTTTCTCCATTTTTTTTTAGGGGGAGGGGGACGGATCCGCCTTTACTTTTCACATTGTTTGTTGGGTTGGGTCGGTTTGGTTTGATTTGGTTGTTCAAAGAACTTGTGTTCAAACTTATAAATTGCGTTTTATGCATTAATATAGTACTTGTACTTGAGTACTTTTTGGTACTCTTTCGTCAACTCGTACTCCTAAATAAAAATAAAATCCATGTTTTCAAGATGTATTTTTGCGTTGGGGAGATGTTAATTACATATAACGGTTTTTGCCCTTACCCAACGTATATTAATAAGCACTGTATGCTCAGTGCTTGTCCGAGAGCTTGC